CAGCCATCTCTACAGATTTCCACCTACGTGAACTGACATTATATACCTCTGCTTCAGGTGTATAGTCAACACAATCATCATCATCATAGCGATCGAAAATATTGAATCTTAAAACCTTGTATATCATGTCTCTCGTGCGTCCAAGGCTGTACCAGTCATTGATGGACATATACTCTCTATTGGCTAGCCATCCAGTTACCTCTAAGTTGCAGTTCCAGGTTGCAATTTTGCGAGAAAAGGTGTTGAAAAAAATCAATCCATCACAGGCTGACATACCTCTGATATGTTCTCCTCGGAAATCAAACAGTTTGAAATATAAAGGAGATGGATCAAAGTTTTCTAACATCCATATTTTGGAAGAGTCTCTTGCGTGAAGAAAGGATGGGTATTTGTGGCTGCTTTCCAGATGTGCATAGATGAATCTGTTTTCTTTGAAGAGAGTTCCCCAGCCCTTACAAGTAACTTGAAACCTCAAAAGTGATTTTAAAGGAAGCTTATTGACAATGTTCTCCACTAGATCTGCAGGGAGATCGAGTATAAAGTCAATGTTTCGCATCCACTCATGTGCTAACTTCTCTGGGAACAAACCTACTACCTTTTCTGGTACAGAGACTTCAGCACGCTTTTCTTTTCCAAACTGTTCATGACCATAAGAATTTTGGATTTTCTCGTCCAGCTTCTCTGCTTTCTTCTTATTATTGCAGGAAGAGTTGTCCCTAACAGAAGTAGTAGATTGATTTTCCAGTAACCAAACTCGTAGAGCACATTTTTCCTCCGCGACACTTCGAAAGTGAGCCATAGCAGACTCTGAAACTTCACCTTGCTCATACTATAAGCTCTCTTTGAACCCTTTCCTACTACTTTCTTTTACTACTGAGTCAGAAAACTTTGACAAACCTCTCTGAGAGACAAGAGCTGGTACAAATACAGCAGCAGGATGTTCTTTATCCAGTGAAGATGATGAAACTGTGCTGGAAACTGAAGACATGGTACTGTTATCACACTGTTTATTATATATGCGATAAAACTGAAATGGAGGATGATTAAAACATCTGACAGACTCTTCAACTACATGTCGGTGGTGAGCTATATCAGCCTCTGTAAGTGCACCTCTCCCATACTCTAACCTCTCTTTGAACCCTTTTCTAGTGCTTTCTTTTGCTCTTGAATCATAAAACCTTGACACACCTCTTTGAGAGACATTAGTTGGCACAGTAACAGCAGCATGATTAGTTGGCTTAGTAACAGCAGCATGATTAGTTGGCACAGTAACAGCAGCATGATTAGTTGGCTTAGTAACAGCAGCATGATTAGTTGGCTTAGTAACAACAGTATGATTAGTTGGCTTTGTAACAGCAACAGGATTAGTTGGCTTAGTAACAGCAGCAGGATTAGTTGGCTTAGTAACAGCAGCATGATTAGTTGGCTTAGTAACAGCAGCAGGATCAGTTGGCTTAGTAACATCAGCATGATTAGTTGGCTTAGTAACAACAGCATGATTAGTTGGCACACTAAGAGCGTCATTATGGGCATAACCCCAAAGATGGTTCTTAGGGGATGTTTAATATATTAATAATATAATAGTTAATTTAAGAACCAAACAAAATGTGATAGTTATTGGTTGAACCTGTAGGTTCTTAAAATTATAATAATAAAATAATGTAAAACTAATTAAAATTTTTATTAATTAAATTAATAATTATTAAAAAAAAAACTAAAAAAAAGATACAAATTAGAAACATCAAAGATACAAACTTAAAAATTAAAAACATAAACTTAAAAAGATACAACAATAGAAATGAAAGCACTTAACATTTTATTTAAATGATAAAAAGTTTATAAACGTTTTTAATCATTTGGAAGATGTCTAAATTTTGTCCATATATTCTCAATCAAATCCTCTTTTAATTGGTGATGTGCTTGTTTATCACGTATTCTTCTGCGACGATCACCTATACCGTCGAGATTTGTAGCCATGTTTTTCGAAAACGTTATATCTGGGGCACCTTCTTCGAATTCTTGGTTGTCAAAGAGAGTGTATGAATGTCGTTCATCTTCAACAATCATATTATGAAGTATGAGACATGCTCTCATAATATAAGCGATTTTTCCTTTTTCCCATAGAAGACATGGATTCTTAACCATGGCGAACCTTGCTTGAAGGACTCCAAATGCACGCTCAACATCTTTCCATGCAGATTCTTGACGTTTTGCAAACAAAGAATGTTTCGGGGTTTGTGGTAGTCGGATGGATTGAATAAATGTCGCCCAGTTGGGATAAATACCATCCGTAAGATAGTAAGTCATGTTATACTCCCTTCCGTTGACATAGTAGTTTGCTTGAGGGGCTTGACCTGGTATAATGTCATTAAATACCGGTGATTGATCAAGAACATTTAAATCATTACAAGTACCTGGTGCTCCAAAAAACGCGTGCCATATCTAGAGATCTTGTGAAGCAACCGCCTCCAAAACAATAGTTAGCTTTCCGGTTCCTCGAGAATACATACCCTTCCACGCGGTTGGATAATTTTCCACCCCCAATGCATACAATCAATGCTCCCAACCATCCCTGGAAAACCCCGTTGTTCTCCAATATAAAGTAACCTTTCGAGATCTTCTTGTGTAGGGCGCCTTAGGTATTCATCGCCAAACAAGTCAACAATTCCGACGATAAAATTTTCCAAACACTTGCGAGCCGTGGTTTGACCAAGACGTATATATTCGTCAAAAGTGTCTGCCCCACCCCCGTATGCTAAAAGTCGAATTGCTGCAGTACATTTTTGGAGGGGTGATATACCATTTTGGAATGTTGCATCTTTTTTTGGTTGAAAATATTCAACTTCTTCTTAAAGACGATTGACAATACGGAGGAACAATGGTTTGTTCATTCGAAACCGTCTTCGAAATAGCCTATCCGGGTAAGTTGGTTTATCAGAAAAATAATCGTTCAACAAACGTTCGTGGCCTTCTTCCCGATTTCTTTCGATATACGTCCGTTTTTTTCTTTCCGACGGTATATCTTCCAATGTCGCATCTACTTGATTATCAAATAGGTCTTGATAATATTTGTCAAAATCATCATCATTATTAGAGTTATAATGATAATGAAAATTGTTTGACAATCAAAAGAATAAGTTTATAAAAAGTATATAATGTCGATGATGACGAACGAGAAGAGAACGATATATAAAGGAAATGAGAGAGAGTAGATTGTGGTTTAAGTGTTGAAAGAAGAAGGGGATTATATAGGATTGTCATGAGAGAAACATACAAACACATGTGATTCGTGTCTCGGCCATGTAGTGGACTAGTAAATAATGTGAACAAAGATAGAAAAAAAAATATACACTCACATAAAGTGGCATTAATCGATTCTTCTCTTTCAATTATCAGAGGAATACAAAGTCATGTGACTCATAAAGTGACAACTATCGATTCATTGCAACAAGACTGTTCTTACCATCTATAGTACAAGGGAGCATCAAACAAGTCTGAAAAGTATTTGCCATAATACAATTTACAACCTACTTAAACCAACTATTGAAATCAAAATGGCAAAACACAAAAGCTGACACCAAGAACCATTCTTAATGTTACTCTACTTCTCTGCAACTCATCTCCCAACTTCTCTACTAGCTTCTGAAGCTTAACAACATTCTCCTCACTTTTACTCTCTTGTTCTCTCATCTCTTTAACAACTCTGGCCCTTTCAGTCATCTCTTCCATCACAGCAACATCCCACCACTTGTGGAGATGCATATTTCCATCACCAACATTCTCGCACGTGAAGTACCTGGGAAACACAAAACCCTTATATTATTGAAAACTCTCATAAGTAAGATGTAATTAGAAACATAAATCATAAACAGACACATACTTTCTCCCTGGATCATTACGGGTGTAAGATGTCTTCAGTAGAGGCTGCCCACCACAATAACAGAGGTTGGGGAAGCCAACCTCAATCTCTGGTTCAGTTCTATCCACCATGTTATATGCACTATGACCTTCATCCATCAATATGTATGCTTGAGTCTCCATGTCTACAGTGTCCTCTGTGTAGTGGTGACTTTGCTCGTCTGATGAATCCCAAGAGTAAGAATAATCTTTCCCCATTGATAGCTTCACCTGAAAACAGACTAACATAAGTAAGAAAGACGATATGAACATGAAACATACATCATACATCAAAAACCAACAGCATCATATGAAACAGAAACCAACAGCATTATATTGACACGGAAATGACTAAGAACATAAACCAACAGCATCATATGAAACAGAAACCAACTCATACACATATCATCATACATCAGGAACAACAGCATCATATGAAACAGAAACCAACAGCATCATATAAACACATAAATGACCAAGAACAGAAACCAACAGCATCATATGAAACAGAAACCAACAGCATCATATAAACACAGAAATGACCAAGAACATAATCCAACAGCATCATATGAAACAGAAACTAACTCATACACATATCATCATACATCAGGAACAACATCATCATATGAAACAGAAACCAACAGCATCATATAAACAGAGAAATGACCAAGATTAAACCAAGCAGACTTGATTCCATAAACCAACCAAGATTAAACCAGTTATATACATTCACTAGGCTATACACAATGAGTAAGCTATAATGACTTACCAATACAGTTCAATACACAACATAATTATCACCTTCTCGGATCTCATTTTGATTAATACAACTCATACAATCCTATCCAATCACATATCAGGTAGCACAACATACTCATTACACAACATGTTCAATACACATAAAACTTGTCTGATTCATTAAACAGAAGATACATCTGATTCATTACACAAAAACCACAACTGATTCATTACACATATTTCACAGCAGATTCATCAAAAAGAAAACACAACTGATTCATTACACATAAGTACTTAGAATAGATATTAAACAAGACATGTTATTAGACATGGTTCATTAAACCTAATTTAGCTACTTAGAAAAGCTATGCCATGAGATTTTTCTTCAGAGCAAGTTCATCTTCATCCAATGGCTGGGTCTTGGCAATTAGAGTGTCAAGAATTGCCAGCTTTTGGAGTTTTATCTTTGCATCGTTATCCTTCTCTTTGTTCTCCCACAGCTGAGGATAGTCTTTAACTGGTAGAGCTTTATCTTTTCCCCTAAACCTTTTACCTTTCATTGCCTTCACTGCTTTGGGTCTGCTCTCTGTTTCATTTGCAATCGAACCACAAGATGGTGGAGCATCCTCACCTCTCCTTCTCTTGCTTGATGTGTTGCTAGTAGGGTTCATAACACATAGACTACACCATTTCTGTTCCTGTCTCAACTCCACCCAAGCATGCTCGAGACCAATCTTCTTCTGGTAAAGTGACATGTAGATTGTATGAGCATTCTTGAGAACGTCTACATCATTCATGCCACTTGCCTTTTCAGCCTCAGCAGTACCATAAGCTCCACAGAAGTGGCTGGCCTCTTTGCTTATCCTTCCCCATCTCTGCTTGCAATGATCAGGCAGTCTTCGTTCTGCACCATTCAACACATGCTGACTAGCTCCATAATAGTCAGAAATCCTTTTCCAAAAGGTCCCTGACCTTTGGTCATTGCCCACAATCTCATCCTTTGATGTGTTTAGCCACCCATTGATCAAAACAAGATCATCAGAAGTGTTCCACTGCCGTCTCTCCCTAGATGGATTTGGGTTTTGATTAGGAGAAGGGTTTTGGTTAGGAGAAGGGTTCTGGTTAGGAGAAGGGTTTTGGCTAAGAGAAGGGTTTTGGTTAGGAGAAGGGTTTTGGCAGCCTTGAGATGGTTGTTGGCTAAAAGGTGGGAATTGGGTGGGAGGAGTAGACCCAAAGTTGACATTTTGGGAGAAGCTGTCATAAGGGAAATTGTTTAAGCTAAAGTGCCCAGGTGAACCCCCATAAGGATTGTTTGAATCCATTTTCAAAGTTTGGTTGCAGAAGAAGCAAAAAGAAAGGTTGAAAGAAGTACCAAAACATAAATTGAAAGATTAAAATCAGAGAATGAAAGAAGAAGCCAATCAAGGAATGAAAGACAAAGCCAAACAGAAGGTGAAAGAAGAAGCAAATCAGAGAATGAAAGAATAAGCCAAACATGACTAATTAAGAATTTGCAAAACAGAAGGTGAAAGAAGAAGGAAACAGAAGGATAACAGATTTGTTAAAAGAAAAAACAGAAGGTTTGTTACAAACAAAACAGAAGGTGAATGAAGAACCAAAACAGAAGGTGAAAGAAGAACCTAACCAGAAGGTGAAAGAAGAACCTAACCAGAAGGTGAAAGAAGAAGCTAACCAGAAGGTGAAAGAAGAAGCTAACCAGAAGGTGAAAGAAGAAGCTAACCAGAAGGTGAAAGAAGAACCTAACCAGAAGGTTTAAAGAAGAAGCACATGATCAGGAAGAAAGATTGGTTTAAAGAAGAAGCCAAAAAAGGGAAATGATATTCGAGAGTAGGAGAGATGATTCAAGAGAGATAAGAAAGAGAGCATCAAATCTCTAAGCTTCAGAAGGTAGATGGAAGAAGTTAATTACTACAAAGTTCATAAAGAGCCTTTGTAGAGTTAATACAGAAAAGTTTAAGCTGTCAATTACCTACTTCAATCAAATCAACATTCAAATATCATTAACTAAATACTTCTCTAAACATTAACAAAGGTTTCTAATTCTTTTAAGTGAAGAAAACAAAGAAGATTGTTAAGTTTTAACTGTAAATTTTAATATTCTTCAAAGAAGATCAATTCTAAACTATAAAGGCAATTACTTATGTCAGAACAATATATCTGAACAACACAAGATTATCGAAAGCTATTATATATACAATGTTGACAAAGCATAGAAGACGGTTTACTTTAAAACAATAATTGTAATGTTCTTATATTATAGATTCCTTCAGAAGTAATTGGAAGAAAACAATTATCATCACAATGAAGCAAAACAATGACTACAATCACGAACCAATCACAAAGAAACTACACTATACAGGTAGAATTAACAACTAGATAGTACATGCTCAGACAGCACATTTACAACTACAATTTATCCCAAGACACCATACTTCAATACATACTTCAATTCACATCTCTTTTACAGTTCATCAAGGTCGCATTCAAGATCATGTAATACATTAACTATGAACTAAAAGGATTGACTCACATACCTCTAAATTTGGAGTCAAATGAGTTGTATGAATCCGATTGAGGTTTCCTTGCTATCGTAAACAGACAATCCTCAGAAACAAAGAAAACAACAAATATTTAAGGTTCATCAAAACACTAGTATCATATGCATTAAGGTTAATCATATCCTTTCTTAAACCTAATATATTTCTTATAAGTTAACTCAGTAAACCTACATCGAGTTGGAAATATAACAACAGATCTAAACCATAGCAATGATACTGACACCACATACAAATCCTCTATCAAGTTGTAAACAACAGATCTAAACCATAGCAATGATTACTTGTACAAATCACAACTTATTGTTACAAAAACAACTGAAAATACGAATGCCATCAAACTAAACCACCAAATTTCCAACGCTTAAGCAAAATTGTAAACTTTACAAAGAACATGGTTGAATCAACAATTGTAAACTTTACAGAGAACAAGGTTGAATTAAGCAAAATAGGAAACTTCAGAAAAGAAGAACAAGACTGACAATAGACTTGCATGTACCTGAGGAGGATGGAGAAAGACGAAGGATTAATAGACGCTGAGGAGGAAAACGACGAGATCCAGAAGACGCTGCTGACGAGACGGGACGGTGAGACGACACGGTCAAGACGGTGACTTCTCCCGGAGAAGAAAACAAGAAACTCCCCTCAATCGTTACTGTGTGACAGAGAAAGATGGTTCACTCTAGATCTCTCAATCCTTTTGTTGTTTCAATCCTCTCCTTTGGCAGAGCAGAGATCACAAATCGGAGTTCTCTCTGAAACTAAATCGGAGTTCTCTCTGATTCTAGGGTTCGTTCGAAAGAGGATAAAATCGAATTGAGATTTTTCTTTCTTTTGACAAAAGAATAAATTATAAACCCAAAGAAAATGAAACATTTTGCCCTCTCCCAGCGCGCCACGTCGATAAGAAGCGGATGCAGCTTAATAATACACTATTTTAATTTTTTGGGCTTTTAATATTGCCCCACGGCCCGATCGCTTGCACCGATAATAATGCCCTAACATCAAATTCATCAGTCTTTGATACTCCCGTTGCGCCAGCCTCTTGTGATGTAGGGAAAGATTCATCTGGAGATGACGTAGTCATGCTGGACATTGAAGATTTGGTAGTGTTAAAAATATGTTAATAGACCATTATCCACATACAAAATCATATTTGTTAGATCCTTAACAAAGTACGAGATCCTTAGCAAATTTACAAAATTACATCTGACATGAGTCGCTACAAGATGAAGGTTAGCCTAATACAAGACCAATGTTGCATATGTTCTGTCTAAGCTTTCTACTTTAGCATAGAATCGCTACAAGATGAAGGTTAGCCTAATACAAGACCAATGTTGCCTATGTTCTGTCTAAGCTTTCCACTTTAGCAAAGATTCGCTACAAGATGAAGGTTAGCCTAATACAAGACCAATGTTGCCTATGTTCTGTCTAAGCTTTCCACTTTAGCAAAGAATCGTTACAAGATGAAGGTTAGCCTCATACAAGACCAATGTTGCCTATGTTCTGTTTAAGCTTTCCACTTTAGCAAAGAATCGCTACAAGATGAAGGTTAGCCTAATACCAGACCAATGTTGCATATGTTCTGTCTAAGCTTTCCACTTTAGCAAAGAATCGCTACAAGATGAAGGTTAGCCTGATACAAGACCAATGTTGCCTATGTTCTGTCTAAGCTTTCCACTTTAGCAAAGAGTCGCTACAAGATGAAGGTTAGCCTAATACAAGACCAATGTTGCCTATGTTCTGTCTAAGCTTTCCACTTTAGCAAAGAGTCGCTACAAGATGAAGGTTAGCCTAATACAAGACCAATGTTGTCTATGTTCTGTCTAAGGTTTCCACTTTAGCAAAGAATCGCTACAAGATGAAGGTTAGCCTAATACAAGACCAATGTTGCCTATGTTCTGTCTAACCTTTCCACTTTAGCAAAGAATCGCTACAAGATGAAGGTTAGCCTAATACAAGAAAAATGTTTCATATGTTCTGTCTAAGCTTTCCACTTTAGCAAAGAATCGCTGCAAGATGAAGGTTAGCGTAATACAAAACCAATGTTGCCTATGTTCTGCCCTAGCTTTCCACTTTATCAAAGAATCGCTACAAGAAAAGACTTAAAACGTACAATGACTTATAAGTTGTAAGCATAATCTTTAGGTCTAACTCAAGAAAACAAAAGATTCATTCATGGCCAGCGTAAAGGGATAATCGCAGTAATGGAAAGCCAACAAGTATCAACTTTGATTCGACTTGACGCAAAACTTCTTTAACAACCTTTTAACAGAATAGAAACGCTCCAACAAGATTTCTCACACTCGACTCAACTCTGCAACTTCACTGCAAGCATCAAGACCATTAAAACGCTTCGTTTCATGACAAACACAATAACCAACTCCAATTGTCCCAAACCGGAAACAATACCTGGTTCATTTAATCATTCTCCTAAACAGGAATAGTTTGATTGAATTAGAAGCTTCAATCATACCAACAATCCAAACCAACTCATAATCCAGTTTAGACTTAAATTGGTTTATGAATTGATCTAATTCATTTGTTAAATGGTTTGAATCAACCCACTAACCCATTTATTTGATAGTTTTAATAATTAAATGGGTGAACCTATGCTAATTAAATACTCCTTCCGTTCCATAATTTAAGATGTTTAAGGAATTTTTTTTTGTTTTAATTTATAATATGTTTTACAAATTTCTAGATAGATTTTAATGTCGTTTGGTATTTTGACTCTTTAAATTCTACAGTATTTTTATGATTGGTTAAATTTTATTTTTAGATAATTATTAAATGATATTTATTTAGTTTAAACAGTTTTCTTAATCTTTGTGCTTTTAGCTAAAACATCTTATAATTTGGAACGGATGGAGTATTAAATTATTACTATTAAATACTATCAATTTATCATATATTATTAATAATAATGAAATTGTACCATACTTTTTGCGGGAAAATTGTGATATTACGTTTTTTGTGGCAAAATTATAAAATCACATTTTTAGCAAGAAAATGTTAAAATTACATTGTTGGCAAAAATGATAAAATCACGTTTTTAGCAGCAAAATTACAAAATCACATTTTTGTCAAGAAAAATTACAAAATCATGTTTTTTGCTGAAAAATTACAAAACCTCGTTTTTGGCGGGAAAATTACAAAATCACGTTTTTGGCGGGAAACCATAATTTTGCGAGAAAATTGTGAAACCCTGATTTTGGCGAGAAAATTGTGAGACCGTATTTTTGGGGAGAAATTGATGGAAGAGATTTAATTAAATTATTTTTTACTAAAATTGGTTTAAACATTTAATTTGATTATATTTGGTTTATATATTTGATTTAAATTGTTCACTTTCTATAGGTATGGTTATGCATAATCTACTAAACCATTTCAACCTAAACCATTACAACCCAACTCATTAAACCCATTAACCCGTGACCTCCTCTGTCTCCATTATAACATATTGATGAACTTTATCTCTTGAATTCCATATTCATTCATTTTCCCTTGTTGCATAATATCCCCCACAATAATAAATTATGATTTTTGATGATTTTTATTCATTGTGGCATGAAAGAGAATAGAAAACTCACATTATAATCTATATCGTGTAGTAAATAGTTATACCAAGTAGTACCATTTGTACGAAGAGCATCATTATTAGTAGTATGTTATGTGTGTATCTTAGGATTAATTTAGTATTAAATTTAAAAAGTGTAGAATTTAAGATTTGTATTTTTTTTTTT